TATATATATATATATTGAACGGTAGGGAGGAACTTTGATCGAGTTTCTCTTTTTAAATTGTTCACGCCAATAGTATATAGTATTATTGTAGTAACCATATTACTATTGTTATAAAGAAAAGAAAAGAAAAAAGGAACAAAGAAAAAAGAAAAAAAGGAATACTTTTCCACAAGAAACGACGAGTGCCGATGCTAATTGCAGAGCCGAATGAATAACGAATTGCTCAGGTATTCGCGTTCTTAGCCGGAAGTCGCAAAAGCAGCGAAGCGCTCATTTCGTAGCGCTCTGTAGAATGTATTACATAAATAAACGGAACTTCTCGTTGAACGTTATATAAAAGTTCGCATTCGTGGAATCCATAGGCGATGACGATAACGACAAGAAAGATGACGATGACGACGACGACGACGACGACGACGACGACCAAGACGACGCACGTTGCGATTCATGAAGAAGGCGAGGCTTGTCTTTACAACAGAATGTCTATTAATGCCTGAGAATTCCAGGCATTTTGTTCTCATCCAATATCCATCTTCTTTCTCTTACTCATACACACTCTGACTAATATTCACATGAGTCAATGTGAAAATAATATATCCACGTATATGATATATTTATTGGATTGGCAAGAAAATAATTTCGGTTTTCTAGTGTGAAATATTACTTTCTTGTCAACCCAATAATATTATATATATATATTAATTATTTTATATATAATAATAAAATAAAATTTAATATATATATATATATAATTTTATATATAAAAATAAATAAAATTAATATAAAATTATATGATATATAATTTTATAAATAAAAGTAAAATAAAATTTAAAATATTAAAATACTTTTATAATATTTTACTTATAATATTATTTTACTAATTACTTATATAATATTAAATATTAAAATACTTATATTAATATATATACTTTTATAATATATATATATATATGTTTACTTACTACCGAAATTACTTTCTTGCCAACCCAATATCTACTTTCTTTTTATTTTTTGATATATTTTATTTGATATTTCGTATGTGTGGGTAAATTTCCAATTGAGAAATGTCAATAATTTATTTTATCAATGAAATTACAAGTCAGTTTTTATTTTCTCTTTCGTCTTATCAAAATGAAAGATCAACGTTTCATCGCTTTCTTTCTTTCTTTCGTTCTTTCTTTCTTTTTATTTCTCTTTCATTTTTCTTTTTCTATTTCTTTCTTTCTTTCTTTCTTTCTTTTTTTTTTTTTTTATTCTTTTCTGAATATAATTAAGTGTAATTACGAGCTTGAAGCAATTAAAAGAAAGAAAAGTAAACCACTTAATTCTCCAGTAGTCGTTAACTACCTACAAAGTAATTCAAAGATTGTGTCTATATATATATATATATATATATAAAAAGATTTAAATATTTACAGATTTTTAATTACCAACGAAAAAAAAAACATAATTATTCAACATTTATATCTAATCCTTCTTTCTTTTGTCTAACACATATGATAAAAGATAGGGATAACGATTAGGATTCTAAATGCAATTTTTGTGAGTGCATTTACCATTGACTGACAACTACGAGATATCTCGTAGTGTGTATGTGTGTGTGTGTGTGTGTGTGTGTGCTGCAATTTTAGATTAATTACAAATGATTATTTGCGTTAAGAATTATTCAAAAGATTGAATCAAATATTTATATGATGTAAAAAACATGAATTATCAATTATTGTAAATAACATTACAATATTATATCAGTAACTTCCCTAGTAACACAAAATATTGAAAAATATTGAACACATGTGTATAATTAATATTAAATTAATGAATATTATTATATTTTTCAAAATTAAAGGCAAGACGCTCTAAATATGTCTACCAGTTAATGGGTTAACTGGATATCGATCATTTCCTTACCCAGGGTTGATTTCAACCCCTAAATGGTTTCTTTTTATTCGAAGCATTCCGATAGGAAGAAGCTTATATACACGAGAAAGTTATTCGTTTCCTCATTCAACTCCACCTCCACCAGATCTACCACCTTCTCTTCCTCTTCATCCTTTTCCTCCTCCACCATAACCACCACCACCACCACCACCACCACCACCACTTCCATCTTCACCTTTTTCTTCAGACTTGCACGAAAGTACAGCAGCAACAGCAGCGTTGTAGGTGGCTCCTTCGGATCTTGATTTGCCAATAGCACGGTGCTACTAACACGTAGCTAACTAAGGAGCATGCAAACTCTGCTTTGAAAGGCAGAAAACGAACCTCACGACTACGTCATCTTCGTCCTATCTCAATCATGTTAAGTGGATTTTATCTTCGTACTCTAAGCAATAAGTATCTGTACTCATCTCTGAAGCATCGATGCTTAGTTCGTTTAATCCTTCGTTGCGTTGCAAATTTTACATTAATCACAGTAAACTGTCCACTTTGTTTATCTTTTTCTTTATCTAATATCATACATTTTCAAATACGTTCATTATGGAGCCAATCTTGTTCACAGAGAAAGAAAGTTGATGAAAGACCGTTAGAAATCTGCCGGAAGCTATCAAAACTCTGACACACACAAAAATATGAAAGATAATTGTTCTTAAATATGTTATATTATGGATGTATTAAAGATAACTTATTTAAATAACTTTCTATTTGTATTTTATACATTTCTTACAATTTCATTCTTATTCGTCGCATTTTCATTTCCGAAAGACATTTTAACTCTTTTAGTTATTTATAAACTTAACAACGTTCACGTTTTAATTACAACAAAACATTTCATTAATCGTATTAATTGTATGATGATATTAAAGTTCTGACAAGTTAAGTTATTATCTCAATTAATGGAAACAAATTAAACAATAGAATATATTGCAACATCGGTTGGTATCTTCTTGCTATTTCTAATTGACCGCGGGAACTTATTTATACACCTTATACTATGCACTACTAAAGTCATTTTTAAATGTTATCTCATTTTATTTTTCTGATTTAATAATTTATGTATATATTGTATAATTAACGTAATGTTATTTTATTTATTTTTATAGGTGTTTTTTGTTTTTTTTTTTTCTTTTTCTTTAATACCCATTTTTTTCTAATAATTTATTTTCTTTTTATACAGACATATGTATATACCACGGCAAAGAAGTCCATCATATAAATACAGCGCCACACAATCAACCTCTCCGTAGGTAAAAGGATAATCTTCAGGTATTTTAAAATTAGGAAAATTATTAACTAATTTACTGTAATAGAAAAATAACAATATTTTGTTATCCCTTTATTTTTGAAGAATTGCCATCTTCAAACTTTTAATCATTTAAATTTGAAATACTTTATTCAAATTATTTTTTTTTCTTTAGTACAACGTGTGACAAATCAATGTTATTAAATATACGAATTATATATAAAATCATAATTCTTTTGAAAAGAATATACACATTTAGATGTTATCGATACATATTAAGAATCATATATAAAAATAGATAGTCTCTTGAATGTGCAATATATTAATATCATACCATACGTTGGTAAGAAAGATAACAGATAATAAACATTGTTTGAATGGTCAGTAAAGAAATGTGTGTGGTATTATTTTTATCTTATGAGATTTAACCAAATATAAACTTATCATACAGAAAATTTCATTCAATGCATACATTTAAAAAGAAATAGTTTTCACAAATTATTATAAGTTTTATATCAGTAATTCTTTTATTCCATACACTTTAAAAATGTGTGTACTCAGATAATATATCATCTTAAGATCTTTAAATAATCTGAAAAGATTTAATAAAAAAAAAACATTATTTTTTTCATCCTTTTTCAAAATCATAAAATTATTCACTAATTATTTATTTAATTATTAAAATTAATTATAAAAAATGCGCGCCTGTTCGTATGCAACCCTCCAGATACGCTTTGAAAATGTTGCTTGCGAGCGCCATCTACTGGGACGGAATATTTTTGCAGTCAAAACTGTTTATACACGTATGTATGACGGGTTGCCTATCTATCGGGCAGTAAAAATTTCGCCCCGACAGATGGCGCTCGTAAGCAACATTTTCAAAGTGTGTCTGGAGGGTTGCATACAAACAGGCGCACACTTTTAATAATATTTACAAAGAAAGTAAATAATAAAATACTTTCATTTCAAAAATATTAAGCAGGAATAAGAAAGTGGCTGATCGTTGTAGCCAATGAGATCCGTATAGGGATTCCATCTTTATGCGAGTGACAGCTGTCCAACGAATGAACAGTACTTATATATATATATATATGTATACAAAACAAATTGTATTACGCTCCATCTAACTGTGTAGACACAAAGTTAAACTTGTAGGCAGTCACTTACCATATACTTTAGACTTAGTACTCGTGTAAGTCAACTAGTGATTCTATTTTTATATTATACTTTATTTTTCAAACATATTTCTCAACGTTATAAACGTTTTATTAGAAAGGTTTGTCTCTTCCTTCTTCTCAGTGGTAAGTTTATTTTGTAAAACAAAATATCCTTATATTTATATACACATTTAAATTCATCGAATAATTATTCATTACTTTTTGAAAATTACACCTTTTGTTGCAACTGATATCGATATTTTAATCTTTGTAATGATTTCTTCAGTATCATGTGACAGACAGAATATAAACATATCAATCTTTTTCATTTATCTATCTAGTAATGATCAATATCTTATCTATTTCATAATTAGTTGCAATTGAATGTATTTAAAAGGAGTTTATTATTTGTTTAGCAATTTTAACATAGATATCATATTCCAATAATGACTTCACCTTGGAGAAAAATTCAATCTGTCGAAGGACCTGTCAGTTTATTGGAAATAAGTTCTGATCAACTTGCAGAAAGTTTACAAGAAAGGTAATTGTATTGATTTATATATCAAATATATTTGCACATATATGTATATATATATTTTATTTAATATTAAATTGTTTATACATAGAGAGTATGAAAAATTCCAAGATTCTTTAAAAAAAGAACAAATGACACAAATATATGATACATATGAACCACCAAATGATACTGATAATGATGCAGTAATTGCACAGCTATTGCAAGCTCAATATAATCGAGAATATGATACTATGTTAAAGCATACTGAAACGAAGGTTAATCGTGATTCTAAAGGTTACCACTTTTATATACATATATTAGATGGATCAGAAAAATAATGTCGCATTCTAACCTTAAATTGAAACGAATACAATTTCTAACAAATTGATATTTTTAATCAATAACATTATTAACCTTGTTATCAACTAAAACTTTCTTCATCTAGTATGTAAATTTTTAATATCAATTTGATAAAAATCAATCGATTATTGATAAAAAAAAAAAAAAAAANTAGATGGATCAGAAAAATAATGTCGCATTCTAACCTTAAATTGAAACGAATACAATTTCTAACAAATTGATATTTTTAATCAATAACATTATTAATGTTATCAACAACCTTTCTTCATCTATAATAATATGCAAATTTTTATTATCAAATTGATCAAAATCAATCGGAAAAAAAAAAAAAAAAATATACAAAATTTGACATTTGTAGAAACGACATTTCTTTTCTCGGTTCATCTAATATTATATATCTAATTTTTATATCAAATATGTGTATTAATTATATCAATGTTTCTGTCATAGTAAATATTTCATATTCTAACTATCGAATGTCTTCATTTGACGATCCTGATGAAAGAAAAACAGATACTGATAATGGAAATGAAGATTTTGACCGTTTTGTAGTAAGTAATATATTATATAATGAATTTTATTTGTATAGGTTATAATATCAAGAAAAAAGAAAAAAAAAATACTATAAATAATGACAAGTTTTTTATTTTGTCAATGAATATATTTAATGAAATGATACATATTGTCAAATAATTCTAATAAAAGAGTGATATATAATGTGTAAATATTTTAGAGCATAGAAAAGGAATATGCTTCGATACCTCGTTGTGGCTACAAAAAAGTAGGCGAAGGATCACAGATTGTAACGAAGCATGATATGTTAATGTCATCGAGAATAAATGCATGCAGGGTTTTTAAATTTCCACCTGGTATTGAAACGGGAGATACAGCTGGATTTGACGTTAAATTAAATAATAAGGTATTTAATAGTTTGAGAGCTCACAGTCATGCACAATGGTCAAAAGAAAAAGCAAAGACAAGACCTCATAATAAATAAATTATCAAAAAGTACATACTCCGTTATTATTATTATTATTATTAATATTATTGGTTTCTCTTTTTTTTTTCTTGTTTTTTAGTTTTATGTGATAAAAATGCAATATTGCTTTTTTATTGTATTCTTTATTAAATTTATATTATTTTCATTGCAATACACTGTAAAATCTAAGAAAAAAGAAAAAAAACCAAAAAATGTTTGATATTATTTATAGAAGTTATTTGATATGATAAAGTTTATAATTATTGAAATTTGATTATATTTATATCTTCTATATTTTTTCGCGAAATAAAATTTAATCGTTGAAGTATCAATTTATGGTATTTTCAAGATACTTAATCATGTATTTTGTTTACCATATACATCTTTTTTTCTTTTTTTTTTTTTTAATTTATTTATTTTATTTATACTGTAAATTATTTGTAAGAGAAACCGTTCCTTACCTTTTTTTTTCTATAAAATTACAATACGTACGTAGGAAATATATATAAATATCGGAAAATTACATGATTTGGATAGATGAGTTTGTTTATTATTAACATTTGATATTTTGATATATAGTTTTTTTTTTTTTTTTTTTAAATGATAAAGTATTAATCAACAAAAAGAAAGTTTCAGTAAGATGAGACTAGAAATTTGTAGGAATGGTATTGATTTAATTGCATCAAATCAAATGTTAAAAATATAATACTATATATAGAAAATGATTATATGAATTATGGACAAATTTATATAACGTAAAACAATTTTTTTTTTAATTTTTTTTTTTTTAATAATGCAATATAATTTTATATATTAATTAATAATATTATCATTAAAAATTGAATAATCGAAAAGATACTCCAAATTTTATTTAATAACATCCTTTATGTTTATAATATCCGCATTGTCTTGTGTCTTACTAAAAAAAAAAAGAACACATCAAATCATATTAATTATCCTTATTTAAATTTAAATCCCATTTGCAATGAATGTAATTTTCCAATTCATTTATTGGATATAAAATATATATATATGAAATTTTTCTTTTTTTTTTTTTTTTTTTTTTTTTAATGTTAATTGTACTTATTATAGTTATTAACATTTATATACTTACGTATACGTTAAATATTTGAAACGTTAGAAAGCAAGAATGTAAGAAAGAAAATGATTACATGAAATATTTAGACACTTGATAAGTTTATATATATATATATCATATTTGTTTCTTTTTCAGGTAGTGTTAGTTTGTTTTTAATTAAATAAATTGTATGTATATATATATATATATATATATAAATGCTAGGAATGCATTACCTATTTCATTCAATACAATTTTTTTTTTGTACAATAATTTAAAAAAAATTTAACTTAATCGCCTTTTTAATTTATATAATTTCATATAATTTATATAAATAAAAGAAAAAAGAATTAACAAAAAGGTCAACATTGTTGTTATGTTAAGAGTATATATATATATATATAATGAATTACTTAAATATAGATTCTAATTGTTTCATTTATCTTTGGTTAATACAACCAATATACAAAGCTAGAAAATAACTTATACTTTTCTTAAACATTCTGCTTTCTTTTATTTATGCTATATTTACATAGCCATGCGGATAATTGCATAAATCTTCATATGCAGGAAAATTAGTTTTGTTTTAATAATACCATTTTTATCTGCATAATAACAAGCAATGTAGAAACGTGTTACAGATTTATTAAATAATATTTAAATGCAATAAAACCAATGGCGTTAGCATTGTTTTTGTACATAATAGTATAAATGCCAATTAAATACTAAAAGTAAGATATATATATATATATATTTTTTTTTTTTTTAATAAAATAGAAACATAATGTATAACCCAACACACATTATATCTTTTTCTTTTTTACTAAGTCCCATTTAAATCAATATATTCTTTATTTTTATAAAATGCTATTTGCGTTATATAATCTTATATATTTTATGTACGACCAATATGATTTGGACACACACAAATTTTTTTTTTTCTTTTAATTGTACATAAATCTTTTCCTTTATATCAATCTTTTAGATTATATGATAGTAACGCATAAGGATTTAAAATAAAATACTTTACTTTATTAATATATATATATATATATGTTATATATATATATGTATATAAATTATCTCAAGCAAACTATAATGCACATTTATCTGTACTTTAAACAAAAACGTTATTATTTTCTAGATTTTTCAACAAAATTAAATCTTTTTCTAATTAAATATTTCAAAGAATACATAAATTATGGCCGCCATATGTAAACACCAATAATTCTCTCCAAAATTATAACACAACGAACACATTTTTAAATTCTTATCTTTTTATCATACTGTTCATATAATGACATTGTTGTATAATTATTTTCTCATTTCAGTAGACTGAACTTTGCATAAAATACTAGAATGTATCAAATATATATATATACATATACATATACATATACATATACATATATATATATATATATAATCTTTTGATAAGTTTCTCTTGTGATAGTATCATCTTTTTATCGGAATGATACTTAAAATATTAAGAATGAATTATGAATTATTAATCAAGGTTAGTCAGTTAAATCATTAACATGCAAAACTTCTCTATGGGTTAAGCCAGCCGATGATAAAGTTGAGATATCTTTGCATGGATATAGAATTCTTTTAGGATAACTCGTTGTTATTTCAAAACTTGCAGGGGAATCCGGTTGACTAAATATCCAATGATATACGTCCTATAAATAATATATTAGTCATTATAATAATTATTCTTGCAAAATTAAACTTAAGAATTAAAAAAAAAACAACAAAAAATCAAATATCATATTACTTCAATTGTGTCAGACATAAGAAATCGCCTTTTCATTGTCCTTTCACCCAATTTAATTTGTAGGTGACAAGCATTAGGATTAGCAGGTTCCGGTTCTACAGGTATTTTTTCCACAGTAAGTTCTTTTTCAAGACGAATTCTTTCTATTTCTTGTTCCTGTGCATTCAATTGTTCCTTTTCACGTGCTTCTTGTTCTTCTCTAGCCCTACGTTCTTCCTCTCTTATACGATCTTTTTCTTGATCTGCACGTAATGATTCTTCATATGCACGATCTTGTTGTTGACGTAATGACTGTGCAGCGCTACGTTCTGCTCTGTAATGCATAAATGGTTATATTAAATCTTATTTGTTTAATAATTAGCCAATTTCATATGATTAATAAAAGTTATTTGTTTACCTATCTTGACGTGCTTGAATTAAATTAATTTCATTCTGTTGAATAATTGTTTGTAAACGTAATATTAGATCAGCAGCAGACGGTGTACCTTCCATTCTAGAAAATTAATTTTTTTTTAAATATATAAGCTTAAATTGTTAACTATGTTTTATGATAAATGAAGAATTATATTTTTCCTACATACCGTCCAACTATCGTCATTCGGTTGTCTTTCAAAACGATAATAGCCAGAAAAGGATAAGAACCAGATTTAAGAGATTCTGCAACTTTATAGCCTTCTCCAGATTGTACATTACAAGCCCAAAATAATGTATGAGTATTTATATATCGTATAACTTCAGGATCGTTTAATGTATTTCTAAAGTAAAAATTTGTTCGATGTTAAAACAAATGACTGTATCTAATTCGTTCCTTATTTATTATATATATATATAAAATATATAAAAAAAAAACAGCATCGATGCACAACCGAAACAGCTAATTTAATAGTATACTGAACGTTGTTCGCCAAAGACAGTTCTTGACGTCTCTGAGACGTCATTGTATGTGAAAGGGTTAATCAAATTATTTAATTAATAAAAATTAGAGTTAATAACATTGTCATGTGAACAGCACAATTATTTCTATTATTAATTATTGCAAAAATTACCTGCACCATTGATCAGTATCTTGGGCCTCATCTTTTTGTAAATAAACTAACAAAAATCTTAATTCTTGTTTGGCATCAGATAGAGCTTGACTGTAAGAACCCTGATAAAATACAGGATGGGTAATGCCATAACGTTCCTCATAAGATCTAATGAATGTCATTACATCTTCCACTGGATCAGACGAAACTTGAAAAAAAGGCATATTTAATGGACACGTACTTATTTCATGTTTCAATTATGTTTGTTATACGTACTGGGCCTGACGTCTGATCTAAATATTGCTAGAACTAGCTGCAAGATACTGCTTACTATATTATAACACATAGAAAAGATATAAGGTAGAAGACCACCTCCTCCACCACTCGAACCAGCTGCGTGGTTAAAATATATTCTAGAACTACTATCGTCAACGACTTGTGGTGGTCTTGATCGTGAATCTTGTGCATACATTGAAGGACGTCCTTCGTATAAATTTAATTGTTCCTACCATAACATAAGATAATGCTTTTTCATTATGGATTATTAAGTGAGTTAAATGTTGAACAATTCTCTATCAGGATGGTATTCGTTAATACCTGAACAGCCACTTCCAAATTCCAATTATGCCTTTGCAGAACATCTCTACAAATAGATAAATCTTCTATTCCTGTCAAATCCTAAAAATAATAGGTACATTCAATACAGTAACTGGTACTAATACTTTGTATTATAACATTGAAGAATATATTAATTTACCTGAAATTGAATAACCTTTTCAGTCTGATCACCATTTAATTCCTCTAGGAGGTCTGCCATGACAATATTTCTGTCGATGAAATGTGTAAATATGAATTTTTTAAAACTTTCCTCACACGTTATAGTAAATTCATCAGCTGATACAAAGAATGAATGTACGATCAAAATATCGAACAAACTGTGCGAACATTTGTAAATTTATTACAAAGAAATGCAACTTTTAATTTATTTATCAGAAGTTTTCACGGGTTAACACTTATTAACGTTACAATACGTTTTGTCTCATTTCTTTGCTTTCCGCCGAATGTTTTCGATGTCATGTCTCTTTACGATAATTTACAATTTCAAGGTTCTCTTTCATGCGACACGACTTCTAATGACGTCACATCCTTGCTTATCGAACGAACACCAATCAATGAACTCCTATATTGTTATTGGTAGTCCATTATGATGATTCTTAAGTAACATTTAATAGAAATATAATTTTTTTTTGATTATCAAAAGAAAACAACTTATAAATGTTAAGTCGTTTACAAGATAACTTATAAAAGAGATAAGTAATATTTTTATATTATTCTTAACAAAGAAAGAGAGAGTTATTGTGATCCTGTTGCGAATAACCAATAATATTCTTTAATTTCTCAATGAAATGATTGGTTGATAGTCAATGAACGTTTTCTTAATATTATTAGTTTAAATTGTGAGAAAGTTATACAGTTTTTACAATTTTTAAACAAAGAATTTTTGTATTATAAAATTAATGAGAATTTTATCACCTATCTGATTGATTATTTATTAAATTGGTAATAACACATGGAAATACTGTTGTATTACAATTTGTAATATTATCTTTATTTATAAGAAGAAAATGAAAATACTTTAATTCTTAAAAATAATTCGCAAATTTTGGGATGATAACTTGTATCCAAATATGTGTCATCATGAACTCATTCTATATTTCTAATAATATATTCATTAACCTCAAATTAAATAAACAAAGAAATTCTTCTACTCCTTATGTGTGTTTGTTTTTCTTTTTTTTTTTAGAAATATGTTTGAAGAGGAAAGTAGTAGGAATAGTAACGAGATATTAATTGAAGAAGTATTGACAAACATTTGGGAAATTACAGTGAAAATGTAATGTGATATTAAATTATATATGATATTGTTAACATTTGGTAATACAATGCTCTTTAATTTATAGAAAGAGAGAATTGGACGCAATAAATGAACTTGTAAAAGAAAATGGAAATTTCTGTTCAGCAGTCGTACATACAAACCAGAGCTTATTGAAAATACTTGAAGGAAAAGGTATAGATTTATCTGCAATTGAAGAAGAAGAAGAAGAAGAAGAAGAGAAAGAAGAAGAAGAAAAAAACAATGGTGAAAATAGTAATAGTTCATACTTTGAGAGTGAAAATGGATCAAATATCGTACGTCCTCTTGAACCAGTTATAAATAGATTTTCCAAAATTCCCGAAAAGAGTTAATAATTAATGTTAATAAATAATTATATTGTATACATTATAATTTTATATTTATTGCAAACATTTCCGTAAGTACCATTATAAAACCCAATAATTCATTATTTTAAAATAATTATTTAAGTTTAGTAAACAAAATTAACATTTCAAAGATTAGATTTGGTGAGCCAATTAAATTGTTGTTCTTTGCGATCAGCTTGAGGATTGATCATTATGTTTATTAAACTTGGACCATTTAATTCCTACAAAATTGAATTATTTATTAAAGTGAAACTATTATTTAAGGTAAGAGAATTTTTCAGTTAAACACTTACTTCAAATGATTCTTTTAACGCTTGCTTAATGTCGTCTGTGGTTACACAAAAGTGACCTTTCTTTCCAAACATTTCCATCATTTTTTCATAATGAGTTTCAGATGTTAAACTATTAGGTGGGATGCTATATCATAAAATTTTTAATTAGAAGAAATCTTTATATTTAATTATGTGTAATTATAGAATAACTTACGCTTTTGTTGGTTCACCAGATGCTTGTATTTCTTTAAATGTTTCTTTATCCAAACCGCTATATATACCATTATTATTTATTATTATAATAATAATGGGTAATTGATATCTAAAAAAATAATATACATTAAAACAATTGTGATCAAGTAATAATAAAAATATTTTGAAATGAGTAGACTGGATTTAGAAGAAAGTTAAAATTAAGTATTACCTAAACATAGTTTCAATTTCCATTCCAGAAAATCCAAATGCACTATCTCCTTCAACGCAAAGCACTCTCTTTCGAGGTGCATTGTCTTTACAATATAGAGCAGCTGCAATTGCAAAGCCTAGACCTACACCCATAGTACCAAATGTTCCAGCATCTAAACGATGACGAGGTAAATCATTTAACAGGATAGTACGTCCAATATCCATTGTATTGGCACCCTCCGAACAAATTATACAGTCTATCAAAATCATAAGATATATAATTAGTCTTAATATAAATTATAATATTGAAATATGTAACTTACCCTTTGGTATAAAATGTTGTATACATTTAAAAGCTGCATAATAATTTAATGGTACTGACTCATCCAAGGACATTTGCTACGAGGAAAAATATATACAATTATCAATAATATCTCAAAATGTTTACAATTTAACGTAATTAGTACAATTTTACCTGTACAATTTTTTTATTTTTATCTGTTTCCGAATGAAGTTTATTCCACCATTGGGTATTTTTAGGAACTGACCATTTTCGATGCTCTAATGCTTTTATTAAACACTCCACTGTAGACTTTATATCAGCTTGTATAGCAACTGCAGATGGAACGGAATTGTGTAATTCTTCTGCGCAAATATCAACCTGAAATGATTTGTTGATTTATTTTTAAAGTATTTAAATAATTTCCTTTTTAACACTAATCTAAATACCTGTATGATTTTAACAGTGCTTTGAAATCGAGGTGGACGCCCAAAATGCAACATCCAATTGAGTCTAGCACCTAGTAATAATATTACATCAGATTGTTGCAAAGCATGTGTTCTTGCACTTGATACACACAATGGATCTGTATCTGGAACAACTCCTTTTCCCATGGGTGTTGGAAGAAAAGGAACATTGATTAAATGGATAAGATCCCGAACTTGTTGCTCAGCTCGACCATATGCAGCTCCTGATATCAATTATTGGAAATTTTGATATCAATTATTATTTTTATAGGATTTTTATATTTTTTAATTTAGAAACAAAATAGTTTAACCTTTTCCTATTATAACCAATGGTTTTTTTGATTGCATTAATATATTAACAGCTTCCTCAATTTTTCTATTATCAGGAAATATGAGTGGTGGTTCAGGACAAGGTGAGACTAATGCAATTTTACTTTCATCAACCATTTGTGTTAAAATTGTAGCTGGTAAATCTAAGTAAGTTGCACCTTTAAATAAAAGACAAAGGTATTATATTTATAGATAACAATAACAAAAGAAAATAAAATATGAAATAACATTAATAATATGCATTCACCTGGTCTACCATAGGTTGCATATCGTACTGCTTTTTCTACGTGTAAAGGAATTAAAGATGCAGATGGTGGTCTAGCTGCATATTTACAATAAGGTTTACTAGCCTCTACTTGTGGCCATTCTTGAAAACCACCAATACCTTCATGATCTTGAGAACATGAACCTCCTATTACTAAAAGTGGCCAGCAATTAACTTGTGCATTAGCCATGCCACCAATAACATGAAGTAAGCCGGGTCCAGATACGCACAATACAATTGCAGGCTTTCCTAATTAATCATAAATTTAATAATACATTAAATTTATCTTTTCTCTAAATAAATATAATGTATTAAATATTGAATTTGATCAGTATAGTATTTACTTGTTAAATAACCATAAGCCTGAGCTGCATAGCATGCAGATTGTTCATTTCTAAATCCTAAATATCGCAGACCTGCTAATTGCATGTTAATAGACAGCTCTATTACTGGATGTCCGCAAATACCAAAAACATATTCTAGCCCCTACAAAATTATATAAAATAAATATGTAAAACAATAGTTAATGAATAGTGATATCAAATTTGATCAAGTCAATAATTATAGGATCCAAATTAAATTAGATTGAAATGGATTAAAAGTCGTCTTTATTATCATTAATAATTGTCATGAAAAAAAGTGATTGTATTGAAATAGAGTACAATTTATTCTATTTATAATTTTAAATAGAAAAGTTTATATATATAAACATATAGACATAGGGATATGTATATAAATGATTATTTGACTTGCAGTGGGAAAAATAAAGATAAGCTTTTATATTAAATCTATATATATGTATATGTATATATACATAGATTGTATATTGTATTATCACGTTTGTAAATTCGTATCGTCAAATAATTCTTAATAAGCTGGTAACGAGTAAACAACAAAGAAATAAGTTATATTTTTGTCCAAATTATTACATTAATAAGTGAACATATATCAACAGCTTTTTCTATTCCTATTTCATTTACTCTTAATAACATTATTGTATAATTATTCATTTCTAGTGAAGGTACATTAAGTCTTTATGGATTATGAAGAAGATGATGTTCAAACACCACTTATTGAATTACAGAAAGAACAAAGGAATCATAGAGGTAAGACATACAAAATATTACAATTGATTCCTCTATCATTTATACATAAATGAATAATGAATAATTTGTAATCATTAATCATGTAACCGTTTTTGTATAATACATAAATTGTATATGATATATACAATGTATAGTATATATAGATATATATATATTATATTGTATATATTATAATGTAATATATTAAATAAACTGTGTATCTATTATTTATTTATTACAAAATCTAAATTTCCAAAAATATATAAACATTTTGTGGACAAAAATTAAATTGTAATGTTCAAAATTGGATGAATTATTTTGAAATTTTCTTCTCTAAAAAAAGTACAAAATGTATTTTTCAAAAAGAAAAGAATGAGGAAGTTCCCATTCTTTGATGGTCGCTCATTTGAATGTGTGAGTTATATAAGCGCCAATTTGATTAAAAATTATAATATACTTTCTAAATCTGAAGATACAAAAAAGAAAGTAATTAATTATGATTATTTAAATAAATTCAATATCGAATAATACAAATTTTATCATGTAAAATTATATTCAATTATGTTTGTTCATTTTGAAAAAAAGTAAAGGAATTCACAATGACCAACATAAAATTATTCATAACCTCTAAAACATAATGTCAATTTTAAAAAACGTACTTGTTCCTTGAGGGCCTTTGCCAATATTTGATTACCGTCCTTCATTTTTACTGAAAATTTCCGAAAATTCAATATATTAAAATAAACTATTTCTTTTTTTTTTATTTCGTTTTTTATTTAAATCAAAACAAGAACTAAACTTCAAAGTTAAATTACTTTCACAATTCGTCGTAAAATGTTATTTCGTATGAATAATTATCAAAACTGATAAATCATGAATTTGCATAAACGATACTTAGATAAAATATATAGTATGAAATTTGTAACCGAGTAAATTATTATTACTCGTCAATATATAAATATTATTCTTATAATAGTTTAAGTTTCATATAATTATTTATTTCATTTATAAGTTCATTTATAATTAAGTGTGTTTACGTAAGTTCGATAAATATCAATTAAAAATCTATTTCACAATTGTGAAATTATGTATTTGTCTTTTTATTATGCTTAGTAATTTATTTATTATAGGAAAATTAAAATTTTATGAAGAAAAAAAAAAAGAAAAATTTCCAGTATTATTTTCCTTGAACAATTTCATCAGTACTAATTTTAAATTTTCGTAAAATTTTATCCATGATAATTTATTTAAAAAAAAAAAAAAAAAAAAAATAAGAAAAGAAACATTTATAAATAAAAATATTCATAAATGATCGTAAAAATAAACTAATTGAAAAATATTAATTAAAATAAAATGTAAATACGAAATAAATAGGAATAAAAAAGTTAAATGTAATTATCTATACTAAATTATATTAAACTATTTATAATACTGTGGTTTAAATACAAATAATCACCCGCCATTTTATAACCGCCATTTCGATGAACAAAGTTGTACGAAAAAGGGAGACTATTTTTTTGAAGAATAACAGATATATGAAATCACATATTTTATAAATAAATAATAAATTTATTACAAAAGTAACAAATTTATTGCTACCCCTTAATATATGTAAATATCATCATATTTAATTATTATTATTATTATTATAATAAAATATTAATGTATTACTAATTTATTTATATAAAATCTAAATATAATTGACATATTAATAATCAAAACAATAACAAATAATAACAAATAATAACAATAATAATAATTCAAATAATAATTTGAAAAAAACCACGTTTTTTAAATGAATGGAAGATATAGAAATTATTTAAAGGGTTGAAGATAAAAGAAAAAATTTCTACCCTTAAGAGAAGCTCACATCCAAACCCCACTACTGTACTTTTACCTGCTGTAAGATATATAAATACGCGCTTTGATGACCAATGTCACCAGTCCTTCATCTAGGTTGGTAGAGTCTATTTCGTGTGACAAGTTATGAACTTTTATCTTGTAATATTTTACTAATTATTTTTACAAACAAATATTGTGTTAAGTGAAGATCGCGAAGTGTACTTTCTTTCTTTCTTTCTTTTTTTTTTCTTCTTCTTCTTTTTATTTGTTTTGCAATGAGTAGAATAAACAACAAGCTCCAAGCATACATTTCAAGTAAGTTATTTAATTGAAATATTTGAAAGAATATTAAAAATATATTTTGTTATTAGAAATTTTCTAATTAACACTTACAATCAATGTACATGTACATAATTTTTTCTTTTTATGATGTCTTAAAATTAATAGGGGTGGGAGAGGGTGGTGGTGATGGAGGGGGGCAGGCGGGTTTAGGTTAAAAGCACCATTTCTTTTTTCGAATTATTTTTTCTTTGTTTAGTTTTTCCTTTTTTCTCTCTTGACAACTTAAAAAGAAAAATATGATTACTTAGAAAAAAA